ACACTCCTTTTGAACAGAAGTAGGGGATTATACTTCATCTGTTTAGGACTAAGTTTTTGGTTCCTTCTCCTAAAATCTCATTCTCTTTTACTCCCAGTAACACATTGCATCTTAGTGGCATTATCACCTTGCTTGGGGTGAAAGGATTAAAAAAAAAAAAAAAACCCTTAATAGTGAAAAGTAATTACTTCCGTAATTTGCTGTTGCTATTTACACTTCTTTCAATATTGGAATTTTTAGCTGTGGAATTATCATTATATGCTTTGCCATCATTCTCATCTTGATTGTTATACTCAAAACATTGAACTCAAATCTGCCTGGGAACTTGAACAGTTTGAATCCATTGGCCATGTCACTTGCAAATGCTAACATTGGAATCTTGAAGCCTTATACTTAAATTCCACCACCCAAGTTAGGACTAGATATAAAGCTCCAGACATTCAACACTAAATTTTCTTAGAGACACATGCACTTGTTGTTTAAAATGTTGGTTAAAACATATCAGGTCCCCTAGCAGTTTTGAGTTCAAAGTTTGAAAAGTCACATACTCTTGCTCAGGGAAAGAAAAAGACAAGCAACACAAAAGTCAATAAGACTGGTGAGTTTTAACTTCTATGAAATAGACTCTAAATGAGGACAATCTGTCTGTGTAGAAGGAGTTTGAAACTCCAAGAAGATTACCAAATACAAAGACAGACAACTGAACAAGGTTCCAGGGTAAAACAGCTGTAACATCATGAGTATAACATCCAAGATGTGCATGCTAGAAAAGCATTTTGGTATTTAGCATTACTTTTAGTAACATATTAATTCCTAAAAGTTACTAAATACTGAAATGCTTTGCTATTTGGACTAATGTATTAATTTCAAAGATGTGCAATTAGTTTAACACATATCAGCACAGAAAATGGAATTTATGAGTCAAGTTAATATTCCAAACTATTCTGTTGCATTCACTTTTGCATAAATGCTTCTGGGAAAGATATGAATTCATTTCTTCTTTCATAGCTATAGGTTAAATAGCAGGATAGACTAGGGTGGCAACCAGTCTAAGAGAAGGAAAACTGAATTACAAACACTGGAGAAGGCAACAGCAAATTACTCCATTATCTTTCCCAAGAATGTATGGCAATTCCCAAATATTAACAACAGCAGCAGCAGCAATAAAAAAAATTAAAAACGGGAATCTGGGGAGCCATGATTGCCTGTGCTCCAAAAAGACATGGCATTAAAGAAAAAAAAAAAAAAAAAAAAAAAAAAAAAAAAAAAAAAAAAGAAAAAAAAAAAAAAAAAAAAAAAAAAAAAAAAAAAAAAAAAAAAAAAAAAGAAAAAAAAGAAAAGAAAAAAAGAAAAAAAAAGAAAAAAAAAGAAATTCCTAGTTGCAGAATCACTTGGCACTTTTTCTTCTAACATGCATTTAAAGTTAAGTTTAATTTCTTGATGTCAATGAGCCTTAGAATTATATAATGATTCAATGGAACAAGTTTCCTTGTCCGTTTTTATCATATTTCAACCATTGTACATATGTTACAAAAAATGATCAATATAAATTAATGTATATTGATAATGTCTCATCTTAAAAACTGATACAAATTCACAAGCCTCCTTTATAAATACCATTTGATTCAAGTTTTGTGTCAACAGCTAATCTATGGCATCATGTTAAAAATTTATCTTTTTCCATCTTGTATTATCCTGTTGAAAATTCAAATTGGGGATCTATAATGAACTTATTATTGATTATAATTACTGACAGTTATTTTGCAAGTATATTTGTTTTACAATCATATGCTGCCTACCTAATATGACTATCCATTCATATTCAACTTTCTAAAAGTTTTCTCATCTTGTTTCTAACTCCTGGCTTCCCATTTGCATAATCTGCCTAGAGGACTGAAAATACTTATTTTATATAAAATAAGTTTCACAAAATTATTGCAAGTACATCTTTTGTCCAAATTAAGTTTTCCAAGTCAAGTCTGATTAGATATATAGTTAGATTATCAGAAGTCAGATTACTCAGCAACAACTCTCCAAACACTCTTATATACCTACCAGATTTTTAGTATCAGATTACCAAAAATATAAGTAGTAAATATGATTGTACCTTTTAATCAAATATTGGTCCAATTAAAAGATGCTATCAGACTACAGGATTTATAAATGAGTAGAATGATGTGATAGAAAGAAATAGAAATATGAATGAAACATTTTTATCAAATTTAAAGAAGACTGGACTGACTTGGGAACAAATATAGTAACAAAATTTCATAATGTTAATATATTTTGCTGTGAACAACAAAATTCTGATTTGGAGCAGACATCTCTCATCTTACAAATTTTTAGCTGTTTTAATCCATTAAGCAAACAAATTTTCTTGATGCTACAAGTTTTTTTCTTTTTTTCTTTTTCTTAATCCAAGAATAAGTTTAATATTTGTTAAATGCATTATGCAAAGATATATGAACAATTCTATTTGTAGGTTTTCTTCCAAAAATGAGTTTTTACATTTTTGGGTTAATCTCTAAACCTATGAATTACATTTAACCATTAACTTTGTCTACATTCTATTTCACTTTTCAGAACCAAATGAAACAGTCCTTACTTTATTTTACTCATATTTAGGGTGTGAGGCTGAGAGTTTTCAAACACTATAGATTGAAACATAACAGGTGAAATTTTGTCAAAACAAATACAAAAATTAACACAAAATATACTTTATAATATATAAGTTCCTTGCACTATATCTACCTATCTCTCATCTGCTGACTTATGTGATTTCCTGATCACTCAATTGAATCTTTATTAGCTTCAAGCAAGTGAACTGTCTGGTTGATTTCTGATACTAAAGAGGGATTTCATATTATTTCCATTCCATATACAATGGAGGTTATGTTGTTTCATAAGAAATAAGATCATAGATTTGGACGAATCTCTCAGTTTACTGACTAAAATTATTAATCTACTGCACTTAAAAAAAAACAACTGCATTATAACAAATGACTATAACTGGGTCATGATAGTTGTTAAAAGACCTACGTGCAAAGGAGTAATCTGGCTGACATAATTGTCTCCCTTGAATTTACAAAAAATCTGCAAAATTCATAGAGTAGACCAGTTCACTGAGTGACAGGATGTAGGGAAGCAGATAATTAGTCAAGACTGATCCACACAATTTGTATCATGGAACTAACCGATTGTAACATGGGAATACCAGGTGCTGTTAGCTTGGATGTGGAGATGGTGTAATGGATAATGGCTCAGAACTGTTAATCAGAAAGCTGAGTTCCAATTACAGTTATATTCACTTATGAGCAAATACCATTGGGAAAAATATGAATTCACCAGTTCTCTCCCAGTATTGGTTAATTAGTATGGCTTGTATCACTAAATCATTATCTCCCCGCAAAATTCTTACAATCTAAAAATATTTTCTGGCACTGAATGACCTGCAAATGGTTGATAATCTGTAGAAAATCAATCAATCTACTGTAACACTTAACTATAAGCAAATGTCAAAGCAGACTATTGTCTTTAACTAGCTTAACATTTCTACTGCTTTAGACATTTTTATGAAACTTACACATGCTAACATCAAGCAATGTATGTGTTTTCAAGACATCATGAAATGTCAGCATTTGCATTATAAACTAACTAGCACTATTTTGAAGGCATATAGTCATATGCAATACAACCTATTTTGTGACATCTTTATCATACTGTGTGTTGGGGATGCTATTTAGCTCATTCTGTACTGGAGAGTATCCAATCAAAATGAAAATGGTGACATCTGTGAGAAATTGCCATTAGCAGTTTTATAGTAATTTATTTCCAGTAAATTGCAATTTCATATTTTTCCTAAATGGGCCAGTACAACCTTGCAACAATGCTATAACAATTCAGCAGTGAGTATGTTAATCTTTTACTCAATTTCTTCAATGCAATGTTGACTCACCTCACTTTTTGTTGTTCTATTATGTAATAAAACAAATACAAATAATATCTACCATAATGCAATGTATAGATCAAAGATTCTATGACTACAAGCTCTAACATCCCCATTAGAAATGCTGTTTTTACAGAAGATAACTTTGTGGTTATAAGAGAATGTGGTGATGGATAAGTAAATTAATTCCTTACCAAACAGTGAATATGTACCTTGTGAAAAATTTGCAACATTCATTCATTCATTCTTTGCCACTTTTTATCAACAAGACCAGATTGCATCAGATTTGTTTCCCCTACCTTATCTCTTCTACCCTTTACCTACCAAACAATCGACCAACATTAGTCATATTTACTCCACACCTATATCAAAAGAGAGTTCAAAACACAGAGCTTCCTGTTCCTGTGACGGGATGAAAACTGCTAAACAAGGTCAATAAATGATGAACCTAAAATTAGGCTTTGATTACCCATCAATCAATAATAATGGATTCACTTCAGGAGGAAGTTGATGCTGGTTAGAAGAGCTTGTTTAAAAAAAGAAAAAGAAAAGACTCCTTTTAACAGAGTCAACATGTGTCAATATTCCATGTATATAAATAAGAAAATAGACATGGTCATAAATAAATGGTGGCAGCTTGCCAAGGACAATGAACAGAGTCTACAAATTGCATAATTCTTGCCATCAAGGAGTCTAAAGTTTCATCAGCTGATAGTTTACATACGTCATGAAGGGGCTGGTAGTTCTGTTGGGTAGTATGGGATGTAGTTATAGTGGTGATAGAATTTAAGAGTTTAGTACTACTGACCCTGATGAACTACAAATAGGCTGAGACAAAGGAATGCAGCAAAGATTTGGTTTTTCATTACACATAAGATTCACTTTCTACCAGAAGAGAAATAATGAATGGTTCAGAAAGGAGAGTCTTTTTTATGAATTCATTATTTAACTGATACCAACATTAATGCATTTTGATAAATCATATAATTTTGTTTACCTGGTACATATATATATATATATATATATATATATATAAAAACCCAGAAAATATTTTTCAGCACCAGGTATTCCCAAATGGTCACCCATCTAAGTACTGACCAGGTTTGACATTGCTTAACTTCAGTGATCATACAGGAACCAATGTTTCAACATGATAGGTGGAAACTGGTGGTGGTATTTTTAATTATAATTTAATATAAATTTTGAACAGTTGATTTGAAATACAAGACGTTCACAATTAGTGGCTCAGAGGTGGATTAGTGAATTATTATAATGTGACTTCTGTTGGTTTGAAAACCACATAATCTGACACAGTTCTGTAACTAAGTCTACCAGAAAATTGGTTGTGCACCTGTATCTACATGATGTGCAGGTAATGTAACAGATATCAGTGCAGAATGTGCTGATGACCTTATCCCCCCTCTGCTACGAGTTAAATAGCCTTGAGTGGCAACCAGTCAAAGAGAATGAATACTGCGAATTCCAAACTGTGGAGAAGGCAATAGAAACATTACCCCACTGTGCAAGAATATGTATTAATTCACAAATAAAGAAAAGGAATCTATGGGGAATCATGATTGTGTATGTCCTGAACAGACATAGCATAAAATAACCAGCACTAAAAATTTTCTAAAGGACTTTCAGTTTTTGACATAAGTAACTGTTTTCAAGGTTTCATTAGTTTATTGTCTTCACTATCACTCTAAAACTTAAAGAAACAGATAAGTTTTTGAGGTTACATACAATGGTGGTTTCAACACCATAATCTTCAGTTACACAGGTACACCACAATCAAATTTCTGTAGAATCTATTTTCTGCAGTATAGATGATATATGCTTCCTTTTCTGCTTCTCACAATTACTCATAGTGACAGATGAGCCCTTTTTTGACATTTTCAAAGTTCTCAATAAATAAAGTTTTTAAAATAAGTCTGTGAGCAAGAAAGACATCTCTGACTAGTAACAAATATTATTCACAACAAGTACAAAATTTGGTGCTAAAATGACCTCTGCCAAAATCTTTGTTTTCACAGATTTTTTAGATAAGAATATGTACTAAAGAATTATCAGATATATTGATGATATATTAAATGAATACAGAAATATTGGCTAATATCTCTTGCCCAAAACCTATTAGCCTTTTTCATGACATTTAAAACTTTTAGAGGATTTTTTTTTTGTTAGAACTTAAAAAAGTGTATTAATTTCATCAAAACTAATAAAAGTTCAAATCTCTACACAAGTTCATTGAAGCAAAAAGTAAATTATTGGCATTAAATGAACTGCTGGATAAGGTTGAACACTACAATGTTAAGACCATCTTTAGGTTTAATAAGCAAATGAAATAAAAAAAAAAAAATTGGTAACAAAGAATATTAAAGAGGATCACAGAAGCCAATTTAAAATTAACAATCCAGGATAGCTTTGCTCTGTAATATCATTAGTACAAATATCCATATTTTCATCATTAGGCATATCTGCATTTACTCAGCTTTTTTTTTTGCTTTTTTTTAAAGCAATTCACCCCAAGCAAGGCGGGAGTGCCACTAGTACACAAGGGGCTACAAAGAGTAAGGGAAAAGACTGGGTATGGGGAAGGGAGTGAGGAAAGGATAAAGAGTATCAAGGAAACAGAAGATGCCAATTGACATTAAATTTAAATTTTTGAAGATTATAGTTATCAGAGAAAAAGGCAGTTCCACTGCAAGAGAAGAAGCTGTAGGAGTAGAAGAAGCGGTTGCATTTAACTGTTTTGGCAGTAAAAGGGTCAGACCAAGATGCCAACTTAGTAGCATGCTTAAATTCATGCAGTCAGAGCACCAGTGAAAATAACTCATCAGAGCAGATTCCATGAAAATATTTATAGAAAAGAGAGAGGGAAGCCATAATTTATCGGTGAGAAAGTGACTGGAGTCAAGACCCCAAGTCAGGACCGATCACATTGCATATCCATCATTGGATTTTGTTGAGAACTTCAAGATGAACAGCAGGGGCACCAGACTATATATAGCGACAATATTCTATGCATGAATGAAGGGGTAGATTTGTAGATGTGAAGGATGGACTAAGATGAGAAAAACCTTCTGGCACAACACAGAGAACCAACATTCCTTGCATTAGATGCAGCAATTGATTCAATATAGTTGTTCCACCTCAGTTCAGTGCAGAACATGAGACCAAGAAAGCACAGTGAGGCACTCTCATGGAGTTGAGCATCAACCATGCTGCTAGGAGGTAGGGATGTTTCTCTATGGTGAGTAAATGACAGCAGTTTCGTTTTGGATGCATTCAAAGACACAAGCATAGAATATTCAGTAAGGATTAAACTTATACAGTAATAAGAGCAAGGCACCTAACATTCTATTAAAAGATCATGTTAAGCACAAAGTTATGAACCAATGATAAAGCACTCCAATGGTAAATATGAAATATAAATGAAAAAGACAAAAAAAAAGTCATTTTACAGAATGCAGATTTATATTGTCTCTAATTTTGAAGAGTAATAAAAAAAAAAGGATGTTTGGACACAACTGGATATTCTTTGTTTATGCTGTTCATTTATCATTTTAACCAAACCATTCTATGTCCTTCTTCAGGTTTATAATTGTAGCAAGTGTAAAGTAATTCTCTAATTCATAGGGTGTCCATTATTCACAAACACAGAGAGAAATAGTAGGTCTTCATTACAGCAGGAATTCACAGGGCAATGTCAATTTGTTGTTTGACCTTCAACTATAATATGTAAATAAAGGAGATGGGTTTTGTGGTTTAGGTGAAGGGAATGTAAGAGTCTGTTTTTTTTTTTTCATCTTTTTATGTCCAAATTCAGGATAAAGGAGTCATATGCAGACATGTGATCCCAGCAAAATGCATAGGGAGAACCTTGTTTTGATATTCTGGAATCTAGGTTGGCTGATTAAGGTTTTCCATTTCCAGATTTTTACTTATATTTTTTTTTTTTTACATGATGAGCAAAAGGCTATTTTATTTTATTATTTTGTAAATGTTATAATACATTCTTGTCCAGAAGAGCTTCTAAATAGCTCATTCTGTTTTGAAAAACTACACAATCCATATGGAAACAGTTCTTTTTTTTTCTGAGCTTGTAATGTAGATTATTTTTTAAAATTTACATTCAAGTAGGTTCTTAAATCATTTCTTGGTTAAAAAATAAATTCAATAGAGTGTCTCTGTTGAGCAACAAAACCACAGTGCTGAAATCTACATTAGTCTGATTTTGGCATCTAGCAAACAAGTTGATGGAAGCAGTTTCTTTCAATTTCCTCCCTCTTTGGCAGCATCCTGTATTATTTGTCCTTCATCCAAGAGAAGATAATGTATTCACTTCCCTTTCCAAATATGATCTGCCATACCAGATTTATGTTGTTCCCCAGTATATAAATAACAAAGAAGTTGTCCAAACAACACTTGAAATAATAACACCATTTTTGTTATCAAAAAGCAATAGTCAATCATTAATAATAATTAACATTACTAACCAAGTCCAGAGATTATTAGGAGTTTGGAAGTTGCAAGGAAATTTGCTTCTAAAATTTTAAAAATGTTTCAGAAAATTTTAATTCAGATTGATTTTATATAGCAAGTGCAGGGATTACTTTTTTTTTTTTTTTGCATTGTGTTATCCATGCCATTGAATGTGTGTGCATATGTGTTATTGTTCTTTCAATGGCTTGCTTGAAAAAGAGTTATTCAGAATAGCTACTAACGGTTTTCATGAAGAATATTTATAGAAGAGAAATCTCATTTGCACACCCACCTGTGTGTGTATGTATGTATATATCTCTCTCCCTTCCTGTTAGTCTCTTCCTTTCTCACTTTGATCCATTTCATTTATTTACAATGAGGCAGCTTTCCATGACATTCAAGTTCACTTCTGTATATTTGAAATCAGTTAATATTTTGTTCACAATAAACAAAGATCAGCCTGGTTTGATTGCAATTAGAAGCCTTACATCTTGCCATTCTTTTTGGACGAACATTCTGAATTTCAAAGTTGTTTGTCTTTTTAAAGGAAGAGTTGTTTCTTTAAAAGTTTGGTTTTACTTACACAGTAAAGAGTTTGTCTAATTGCATCAATAGAGTACATTAAAGTGGTAAGTTAAAGTTTATAAGCATTGTCCCTTTGTCTTTATTTAATAATCATCATCACACATAACAGATCATCTTCACTTAATATCAGGGGTTCTTGAATGCAATAGTGTTAAGACAATTATAAGTTGTTTTACACTGACTTATATTCAGGTACCTTCAACAAAAAGCAATACCTAAGTTTTAAAATGAATTTTTAAAAATGAAAAATCCTTCTTGAAGCGTTTATTTTAGTTTTAATTTCAACCTAATAGATTACATTTAATATTTCCAATAAGCAAAATACTTTGCTGCATTTCAAACTGAATTTAAATTTATTGGAATAATTTTTTTTAGTAAAAATACTAAAATCATCCGTATTGACAAATCTGTCAATACAGCATAATTCTCTTTATTATAAAAAATCTTTCAAAAATAAAATCTACTTTTCTGAAACTTTAAGGAAGATTAGCAGATTTAAAGTTTAATCAATCTGATTTGGAACAAATATTACTTACTTTTAGTTTAAAATCATTTTTTAACATGGAGGTGAGTGTTGACAACTCTCGATAGTCTGGGAGTTTTTTCTAAGGGTAACAATTACTAGATGAATATAACATGAACACTTTTTTTATATAATTTTTTTAACTACCTAGTTATCTTAAAAATTTAAGAAAATATTAAGAAATCTAATATTTTATTAAATTTTAAGTACTTTGGCTTTATAGTCTAACTTACAAAGACATGTTAAGAAAATGTTAGAAAATTAGCAATAAATTTTAACTTTACTATAGTTAGTGTTCATATTTTTTGATCAGATTGAGCTTGGACATCCATATTTACAAAAATCAACACATTTATACACACATAAAATAAATTCAAAATTATTTTTAAAGTATTGCAAGTCATTGCATTGTAACAAGCTTTTCTATTTATGATTAGTAAATAAAATTTTAATTTAATAACAATATCACTTGACCACCACAAATTAATTCAGAATTTTAAATGATTTAAAACTATAAATTATTCTAATTAAAATTTTAAAGAAATGAAAACAATTC